TGCCCTGTTATCTGATTGCAGGTGTGGGATCTCTGCAACACGGTTTAACAAAGGGCCAAAGGCCAGAAGGTTAATAACTTTATCTAACATGGAAATAAAACCCAATTCACTGAAAATCCTTTTTAAAGAGTTTTAAATTTGGGATTCTAGAATTCTATTAATTCATGATTTAGGCAAGCAGTAAGGAGTACGCAAACACTACTTTGGAACTCATCATCTTCCACACAGTTTACTTGGCCATTTAGAAATAGTAATCTTTTAAATATCAGTATCATGCTTTGTATTATAAAACTGTATGGTTAAAATTTGGAAACTGCTTTTCTAACAGAAGTATTGTCGAATTCAGTCCATCATCATGTGATTCTGATGAAACTTGGCACTGAAGTGTATTGAGGCCAACGAAAGCTTTTTTGTTGTTGTTGTCAAATAAACATACCTGACTATTGCTTTAGAACTACATGGCTACTTATTCTGGCTTGTGGGGTATTGTTTTGTTTTGTAGCCTTTGAGGGGTGGGGACAGGAGATTTCAAAAGGAACTGGACAGCTCCAACGTTGTAACCCTCGGCTTTGAGGCAACCTGAGTTATTTCGGGCTGTCCTTTCCAGAACCCTGTTTCAGTCTGAGAAGTCCTTGGAGCTGACCCCCACAGCTAGTCACAAACCCACAGCATCAAAGCAGCGGAGGCCAGGCAGGCCCTCTGGGTTTTCCAGGACATCTCTCGAGGTTTCAAAGGCTTTCTTGTTCTACCTTTCTTATCTAGCAGGGCCCAGGGCACATGCAGAACTGTAACAAGGCTTGACTTCTGCCATGGACAGAACCCCAGAGCCTTTCTGTCAGCCTTACGTGTAGCTCCCCTTCTGCTGAGTTCTTGCAGCAACATCATTGGCAAACATGGACTAAAGCACCCACTGAGTGCCAGGACTGAAGGCCCAGGTAGTGCAGTTCCTGCCTTCAAGGAGGGAATTGTCCAGACGTGGTTACTGGACCCTGCAACCCCTGACTTCCCAGAACTTTGAAGCAAGCACATGGTCTACACTAGAGCTCCACTACATCCCCAGCCCCCAGAATTCTTGTCCCTGGCTGTGGCTTGGCTTGCTTTCTCACTAGAGAGCCCCACATTTAGTAAATCTCTTCGTTTATGGCATAAATTAAACTGCTTTATGTTAACTGTAGGAGAAAGCTGTTGCCATATATGTGGGCTTGAACCATCTTTAATAATAAAATAATTTACATAGTATTCCGAAAGCTGGCAATTACTGTCATCTTCAACTGTGAGATACAGGGTGATATGAAATTATGTCCTTGCCAGAGGCCAAAAGTCGCAACAAAAATCAGATTTCACAACTTCTCTGCCCCTCCTCCCTGCTTGTGGGGGTGTGGGATTTAGTATAAGGTGAAAGAGACCTGAGTTCAAACCCTGCTTCTGCTATTGAGCTGTGTAATCTTGACCATGTCACTAAACCTTTCTGAGCCTGTATTCTCATCTGAAGAACAGCAATATAATAGTCTGCTTTATCCTCAAAACATATTTCCAAGACCCTTAGTTGATGCCTGAAACCTTGGACAGTACTGAACCCTATACTATTTATACACACACACACACACACACACACACACACACACACACACACACCTGTGATAAAGTTTAATTTGTAAAGTAGGCACAGTAAGAGACTAATAATAAAATAGAACGATTATAACAATGTAATAAAAATTATGTGACTACGGTCTCTTTCTCTCTCTCGAAATATCTTACTGTCCCGTATTCACCTATTTTCAGACTGTGGTTGACTGTGGGTAACTGACACCCAGAAAGGAAAACCATGGATAAGAGGGGACCACTGTAGTTATCTATCTTAAAGAATAGTTATGAATATTAAATGACGGAACCAGTATTAAGTACCTAGGGAAACAAGAGCAACACTGAAAACCTCAACCTTTTATCGTGCCTAGTCTAGGTCAGGCACTGTTCCGAGTACGTCATCTTTTTTTAACTCCTTTAATTGTCAGGGTAATGGTATTATCCCCATTTTACAATGGATAAACTGAGGTACAGGCTAAGTAACTCGCCCAAAATCACACAGGTGTTAAGTGGCAGAAGTAGGACACGTGCCCAGGCAGTCTGACTCAGGGAGGCTTCAGAAGTTCAAAGTGTTTTTTTTCCCCATCCCCTTAACCCAAAGAGCTGCTGACTTTCACACAGGACTAGCCACTTATGCCTGCACATATTGTGTTGATAAACTGCACATGCATGTTTAGGTGTTTTGCTTATTGCAACGTTGGGTAAGTTATACAACTGGTCTGTCCTAAGTCTCTACGCCAGTAAAATGGGGATACAAATAGTTCTTTCATAAGATGATTGGTAGAAACAAATAATCAAGACGAAGGGCTAAGAAGAGTGCTTGACACGTAGGACAGGTTCCACTTAGGAAGTGCTTATAACATCCAAAGTAATGAGCGATGTAATATATGAGGAGAATTCTTGGTCTTCTCTGCCTGGCGAGACATACAGATTTTGTGGCTGGCTGAATCCAGTACTTTAAAATGGCTATACTTGTTCTCTGGCAAACATACTGCATTTAAAAATAGATTCATTCAATCAATGAAAAGAAAAACAGGTTCAAAGAATTCTGGTAAGGAATGAGACTGGGCCTAGATAAAATCAGACTGAAGGCAAGAATCTTCATAATAATAATACAACCAGAGTAGTCTTCTTGGAGGTCTCTAGGTTATGAATTATATTCCACCCACTGGATAAATGTTACAGGTAATGGGCAAAGAATTTGTGAAAAATCTATGGCCTGGTTAAAAAAAATATTTGGGTGACATAGGTTAAAGCAATTTTATCCCCAACACTGTTGAATACCAGAAACTTTGTAAGTGAAAAAGCACAGCTTTTGTGAGCGTGCTGGACATAAAACAAAATACCACATTAAAGGAAAGGCTGGAGCACAGAAAGAGCAAATGAACTCATGTGAGCTCTTTTGCAATCACTGTTACAGCTTTGTATCATTCATCGTGCACCACACTTAAATGTACACTAAAAAGCAGAAAGTGTGCCACACTTATTACTCTAGCTGCTTTTACTTGTTACATAGAGATATGCGAGACAATTTCACTGCTCAGATGGAGGGAAAGAGGAGCTCATCTTATTTCAAGCCTGTAGCTGCTGCCACAGCCTCAGCACCATGTTCTAATCATTGAATTCATCATGTAAATCTCTAGCAGATGATACCACTGGAAAACAGAAACTGCCTTGGATCCAGAAACGCTTCCAAATTTTTCCTTTAAAGTTCTTATCCGTGAGCCCAGGGACGGGTTGTTTTATTCAATGGGTGAGGCCCACTGGGAAAGCAGCATTCTTCGGGAGACTTCGTGAAGAACTTTCAACCATTCCTTGACTATATAAATGACCTTTATCATTTATTTCACGTGAAAGTGCTAAATATTTCACAACTACTCCAACTTATTTCTGAGTGTCTAAATCTATTCTGAAAAGGATATGCATCACACACATACCTGTGTAGCTTATTAACTGCCAATAAGAGCTTATACAAATTGCAGGGGGTATGAAAGAATAGACTTCTGGAACTGTCCAGAAAGGAAGAGAAGGTACATTTCCTGGTTTTAAGATGAAAGATCTTGTATAAGTTAGAACATTACAGGAGCCTTTTAAATTGTCTTAGGGACAAGACCCTTAGGGCATCATCAGTGGTTCCTGGCGAGTCTTTTTTTCTCCCTGTGATGTTAAGGGGAAGTCCCTAAGACTGGCTTTGCTATTAAAATACAGACATCTGCTGCTCTTCTAATTTTGTTCCGTTTAAAAGGCAGTACTCCCAAGAAACTCCTGGATATTGTGAGAACTAAGATCTGGGGGGGATGGGGACGGAATCTTTGTCTCCCTAACGCATTTATCAGTTCCCTCCCTAGAGCCCCCCTACACCCTCAGCACACACCGGCAGCCCACTCTTCCAAATACTCCCGGGCTGGAAAGATTCATGTTGCAATACCCTCCTCACAATCCTATTCCCGCTCTCATTTTAATTCGCTCCCCCCTCCCCCCCACCTTTTTTTTTTTTTAACAAAATGTAATTACTTGACTGTCAGCCTGGGCTGCACTCTGGGGCTTTTACTCCTTTCAACACAGCTGCGCTCCCGGCTTTGATGCTGCTGTCCATGCAGCTTGTCCCAGCCACAGCCTGGCTCTCGGTAATGTAACATTCAAGTGCGTATTTATTTTTAAACTGACCTCTCCTAGACTGTACAGTATGAAGGAGATCCTGCCAAAAAATATGCTACTTTCTATTTATAAGATGAAACACATGCCTCCCAAAGTCGAGAGGGGGATAGAGCATAATAATTCATAAAGAAAAAATGGCCAGAGTCATTCGTCCTCACATGTCTGATATTTGTCTGTGTCAAGGCACTTAGTTTCAAGGAGAAAGGTCGGGGGAACCCCACAACCCTGTAAACGTTTCAGCTGTCACGGTCAAAAGACAAAAAACAAAAAAAGTCAATAGCCAGATCTGCAGTTGTCGCCCCACTAACAATGCTCTCCGTTATGAAAGGAGAGGGTACCAGGGGAGCGATGCCACAGCAGAGCTGTGCGATGTACCCATGTGCGGCCCTGGTACCAATCCACGACGCGAGGGGCGCGGTAGCGAAGTGAGGCTTGTTCTCCTATGGAAAATTCTACAAGCGCCCAGAATGGCTCAGTCAGTAGCTCAGAGGGTGCAATGCGGTCGCGCAGCCCCACCCTTAAAAGTGGTGGGCGCAAATGGAGGAGCTCTACGTTCCGGCCTGGCCGCCCGACCCCCTCCTGGCTTGCTTTACGTCCCCTTCGGTCCTCTGAACACGAGGTGGGAAAGCGATGCCCTCAGTATCCTGGCTCTCTGCTGGTTTCCCAGCCTAACACCAGCGCACGCCGGAAAGCAGTCGCGGGCGGGACAGACTCACAGACAGGTACAGAGGAAGGAGCCCTGGGCTCTCCCGACTCACCGGCCGCTGCCGAGGATCTCAACCGCTGCCCCGAGCCCCCCGCGGGCACACGCAGAACCAGCCTGCCCGTGCGTGCAGAACCAGCTAGGTCTGCCGGCGCGGCGCCTGCTCACCGCATTCTCCGCTCCGAGACGGCGTGAAGGCTCCCCAGGCCCGCGGCCCGGTCTCCGGGCTGGCCCCGCGCCGCAGCCCCTCGGCCGCGAGAGAAGGTGCGCGCGACTGAGCGCTAGGCGGCCGGACGCGAGGACTGAACCTGCGGAGGGCGGGGCGGCGCGGGGCGGGGCCGGCGGCGCGGGGCCGGACAGGGGCGGGGCGGGGCGGAGGGCGCGGGCGGCGGGGCCGACCCTCCCGGACGCGGTACCTGTGCCCTGGCCTGGGGCCAACAGGCGGCCGGGCGCGCGCAGGGGGGGTCAACGGCGGACCCTCGGAGGACAATGGGCGCCCATTGTTACCTCCCCAGCGCCATCTCCAAGTAGGCGACTTCCCTTAGAGAAGAACCCGCGTTCGGCTCCCTTAGCACAAAGAAAGGTCGCCACACGCTCGGTTTAAAGAGGGACCCCGAGGTGCTGCCGCCCGGGTGCATGGGGACAATAGGACTCCGCCCGCACCCCGGACTCCCGCAGTAAACCTCGTGCGCCCACCTCTCCTGATCCCAACAGGCAGACCTAGCTGTGCGAGGTTCCGGCGTGGGGGGCGGTGACCCGCAGGGAAGCGAAGCCACCTGAGCGCGCCGCCCCGGCCCGGCCGCAGCTCCCCAGGTCCCTCGCAGCCCGGGCTCGGGTGAGCGCGGAGGGGGAGGGTCGCGTTCTGTCAGTTTCCAGCTCGCTCCCCTCGGAGCTGCAGCCAAAACCCGGAGAGTGGACTTAGCGCCCTGGAGATGCCGGGGCTACCGGCTAAGCAGCCGGACAGGCGACGAACTGCAGACGCTACAGGTTCTCCAGTCCAGGGGGAGGCGTGTCTTCTCCCTCGGGGTCTTTTAAAGGGATTTGCCTAAAGTAGGGGCAAGCTGTTGGCGGCTGCCCCAGACTCGCGACGAGGCGCAAGTCTCGTGGTGCAGCTGCCGGCCCGGGAGCGTAAAATTCCGCCTGGGGCGGCACCTGCGCCCGCCGGTCACCCTGACGCCGCCGCCTGGCGCGCCCCTCCCCTCCGCGGGGGCCTGAGCTCGAACCGGGTTAATGAATGCTAATTTTCTTAATCGGTCTCCGTCTCCTCCTCCTCTGAGAGTCATCGGCCTGTGGAAGGAGTAGGCGACAGGAAAGGGCAGTGTTTTCCGGCTGGGAGGTCCCAGCCCGCAGGATCAGCCTGGGGAAGGGGCTGGGACCCTGGGGAGTCAGACGCTCGGGGTCTGGCCTATGCCCCGAGACTCCCAGGTTGGATGGAAATCCTGGCACAACGCGAAGAACCTCCCAGGCACCTTGACTTTGCCGAGAGATACCAGCTTCAGGTCATCACCGCAGTGCCCTGGGTCTATCTGAAACCTTAGAGGGTGTACCTTAAGCCGACGTTGTAAAACCAGGCTGACGTTAAGGTGAAGTGAAAAGGAAACGGACACAACTGTTCTGGAAGCAAAATACTTGGGTGGAGAGTTAAAAGCCTCAAAGAAAAATAATAGTTGGCAGGTCAAATGGCCATGAGGTTAGAAGTCAAATACGAAACTCGGCTGAAGTGATGCTAGAAGTTTGACGAGCAAAACAGTCCGTGAAGATAAGAGACCCAGAATTGTTTCCCTTCTTCAAAAGACAACTGGTCCAAAGTTTCCTTTGGCAGATACCTGATTCTACCTTAGATTCCTGAGCATTTTACTTGGGGCTCATATTTCAAAATATATGTTCCATTTGGCACTAATGTATATATTTTATATATTAATTTATTGGAAAATTTTTAATGTTTCTGGCCTACTTAGAAAATGGTTTTTAAAATAAATATTTATGCATAGTTTTCATTACATATAGTATTTTATAAGTCCAAATAATGTGTGTGTATATATTTATAAAATACCACATGAAAAATTCCTTTTGAACACATAAAGACATTCCTTACACGTCTTATATGTAACTTTTTTTCACGTGATCTATTGTTAGCTGCTGTTAAAAGCACTTTATTTCCACATGGCCCAATAAATAACTTCTTTTATAGTTTGTGCAAATATAGAGTGGCAGGTTGTTTGAGGTGGCAGTTTTATTCCAAAACCCTAATTTTACTTTTCTACATTATTCCTTGCCTTTCTGAGGTTTTCTCTCCCTCTGCAGTTTTGAAATGAGACTTCACTGCTGGGCTCTAAACAGTTATCTAGGATCTGCTCATTCAAGGGCCTGGTGGTTTGATTTATCCTGGTTCCTTTGATGCCCTATGTTATTTCTTCTCTCTCTCTTTTTGACATTGAGCCTTACTCTGTCGGCCAGGCTGGAGTGCAGTGGCACGATCTGGGCTCAGCGAAACCTCTGCCGCCTGGGTTCAAGCAATTCTCTTGCCTCAGCCTCCTGAGTAGCGCCTGCCACCCCACCTGGCTAATTTTTGTATTTTTTTAGTAGAGACGGGGTTCCGCCATCTTGGCCAGCCTGGTCTTGAACTCATGGCCTCGTGATCCACCTGCCTCAGCCTCCCAAAGTGCTGGATTACAGGTGTGAGCCACTGTGCCTGGCCTCTTTCTTTCTTTTCAGGGTATCCAACTCCTGGCCTCAAGTGATCCTTCTGTCTCAGCCTCCCAAAGTGCTGGGATTACAGGCATGAGCCACCATGCCCTGTGCCTTATGTTATTTCTTTGTGTTGAACATCTTCAGTGAGTAAACCATGCCCTCATATAGTGAATTGTTCTTCCAAATGAGTTCATTTCCTGTGCTAACTACCATCGCTTGTAGAGTTGATGGATATAGGTTTCAATATGTTATGGGACTCTATTACTGGAAGAGAAGAAAAAGCTGCACTTCAGGAAGATTTAAGGGTTTTGAGATTCTGCTGTGCATTTTGGAAAGGTTTAGCCTTAAACATTTGGTGATAACCTTAGAAGCCTAGTTGACACTAATATCTGTAGAACACCTGTCAGGCCCAACAGTGGGCTGTTTTTCTATTAGTCCCTACTTGGGAGAAAAGCCAAGTAGTATTGGCAGTGACCTTGCTGTCCAGAAACCTGTGATCTACCTAAGTGCAGAGAGCACCTTGCCAGTGTACACAAGCATGTGCTGACCACATTCTAGTTTCTTGCTACGAAGTACAGTCCCAGGACCAGCAGCATCAAGCCTCACTCCAGGGCTATCGAATTGGAATCTTCAGTCTAATGAAACATGGATAGTTTGCGTGCACATTTAATGTTTCAAAAAGGACTGGCCATGAGTGCTTGGTGGTCCTCCACCTTTTAAAGTTACAAACTGATTTGAAAATCTCGTGGCATTCATGAACACCCTTGGAAAAACATACAGAATGATCCACAAAATTTTTTGTATACAGTTTCAGAGTTCCTGTAAAGATCTATCTATGGCAAGGAAGTCCTAGGCTAAGACCCTCTCAGTCACAAAGAAGACTGACTCAATGTCAGCTGGAGGAGTTAAGAGAGGATTCTTACAGGGAACAGAGCTTAAATTAAACCTGGGGGAGTTTGATAGGAAGAGGAGTAAGGAAGAGCATTTCAAGCTGTTGAAATGTAAAAGCCAATGGTCCTGAGAGGGGAAACAGAGAATGTCCATTTTTGTGTGTGTTCATGTGAAACTCAATGAGGAGACTGTAGTTTGATAGCAGACTTTCCTTGCAATTATCATAGCTTGAACATCCAGAAAATGACATGGGGCTTTCACGTAAGATCCCATTTTGTTCCACTTTGCTCATCTCTCACCCTGTCCAAGCCACATTGGCCTTCAGGCTATTCCAGGGACTCCCGACAACAAAGCCTGGCCCACTCTGTCTGCCTGGGGCATTTCCCCAAATCAGTAAAAGGCTCATTAAGATCTTTATTCAAATGAGACTTCAAGGGAGAGGTTTTTCTCTAAAAAAGTAGTCCCTCCCACATTCCCTTTCCCTAAATGAAACGGGAAGAACAATTGCTTCACTACCTGCCATTATATTTATTTATAAATTCATTTATGGTCTGTTTCCTTTAACATATGAACTTTATTTGCTGCTGTATCTCCTGTACGTAGAACGGGGCCTGGCATACAGTAGGTACTCAATAAATGTTTATTGAATAAATGACCTTTTAACTATAACCAGTAATGAGTATAAAAGTCATGTTTACAAACTATAGCTGCAGAAATCGTAATATATCAAACATTCTTGGAATATACCACACGTTTGCTGAGACTGAATTTTCAACCACTTCTCTTTAGTCTAATAGAACAAGAAATGCTAAACACATGGAACATTTTAACTTTGAAAATTCAAACATTTTAAAGTAAGGCTTACAAAAAATGTCTGTATGGTCCATGTATAATGCATAACTATTTTTCTTCTGGCAAAGCTGAAACACACTCGTGTACTTAGCTGGGGTTTTCCTCCAAAATCCAGGCTGAATTCTTGTGTGTATGGTCTCGATTATCCCTCTAAGTTAGATTTAAGGAAAACGTAGGAGAAGCTGGAAGGTTAGAACATTTTGAATGAGAATTTCCTTAAAGCTTGAGTATTCCCCTCCTTGCTACCCAATTAAAATTTCACCAGTCCTGGAAATATGTCAACCTGTGCTAATGAACTTGATTGACTAATTGCCAAGGCTAAGGAATTTTCTAACCAGTGATTTCCTTGTAAATAAAGAAATTTAGATCACATCTTGGTTGGAAGACTTCAGCTTTCCCTAATTGAATGCAGCAGGAAATGGTATACTATGAGATATAGTATGAGAGGCTATATTTGCATGGGGACTACAGGCCTAAGATACAGTTCTAAGCAGGTTACACAGTTACTCACCATAATCACTGAATACGATTTTGGCATTTGTATTGGCTCCTGAACTTGGGACAGCACCAATTTAATTTGTGCATAAGACCTGCAAATATAGATGCATACTTGATTCTGATTGTTAATGCAAACCAGTGACAAATAGCATTACTGTATATTTATATAGTCTTCTATGCTCCTAAAAACACTTTCTCATTTCATCCTCATTTTAGGTGGTTTTGTTCATGCTGGGTAGGTAAGGCATTTATGGTTTATTTACACACTTATTTCCAGAAGGGATTTGAGGCAACTTAGAAGGCTTTTGTATATAATGAGTCATTCCTTTTTTCCAGCTTTACTGAGGTATAATTGATTGAGTCATGCCTATTGTACTCTTCGTTATGTGCTCTTTTCCCACATACCTGTATGTCTCCTTCCTTATCTTTCTTCCCATGTTGCTTAAATCTGAACTCCCAGATGCCTGCCTTCCAAGACATCTTTTTTTTTTTTTTGAGACAGAGTCTTGCTCTGTTGCCAGGCGCCAGGCTGTAGTACAGTGGCACGATCTCGGCTCACTGCAACCTCCGTCTCCTGGGTTCAAGCAATTCTCCTGCCTCAGCCTCCCAAGTAGCTGGGACTACAGGCGCATGCCACCATGCCCAGCTAATTTTTGTATTTTAGTAGAGATGGGGTTTCACCAGGTTGGCCAGAGTGGTCTCGATCTCTTGACCTCGTGATCTGTCCGCCTCAGCCTCCCGAAGTGCTGGGATTACAGGTGTGAGCCACTGTGCCCGGCAAGACATCTTATATAAAGTATCAACCATGGCCTTCTTCATCCCATTACCCTCTTTATTTTTCTACATAGTACTTAACACCTGACATGTTGATTGTATATTTATTTGTTTATTGCCTCTCCGCTCCCCATACCACCAGAATATAAACTCCACAAGGGCAGAAATATTACCTATTTTATTCATGGCTGTATCCCAACCCCTTGATCAGTGCTTGGCACATAATAGGGATTTAATAAGTATTTGTTGAATGAATAAATGAATGAAGCCACCGTGCTTAGTGAAGGCACCTGGCATGTGATAAATATTTGTTGAATTAAACAAAGCTTTAATCAATGAGCTAGTGAAAGGTCTGTGATTCATTCAAGGTTATGCCGATAGTGATAACTTGCTTTATCAAGATTCAAATCCCCACTAATTCTTTCTCCGAGCCTTCTTCATTTGTATGCCTGGTAGACTGTTGTAATGCCAGAGTTTCTTTGTTCATCCTTTTTGGTACCTGACAAAAATTGAACATTATAGAGCTTTGATAGTGATTATAAATTGAGCAAGAAAAATGATTATTTCAATTAATGCTCTGGATTAGTGAGAAACAATAAAAGAGAGAGGTCTGCAATGATACTCCCCTCTCTCACTTCTCCTGCTTCCCTGCATGCATTCACACACA